GAAAGAGAGACCAAGGTTTTGTCAATATCTGTTTGCAAGACTTGATTGACGTCATGGTTCGGTTCGTCCCGTGGATGGTCGGTTCCGGATTCTGGTTGTGACTGCTTCCACCGCTGCCGAGTGAGGTTGAGGAACGTACTTTGACTTGTTTTCGGGCACTTTATAGATGCCTTTAGTTCATCGTTGTCTGTCAGGTGTCCGTTATCAGTGAGGTGCGTAAAAACATCGCACTGGTTATGGTTTTCTTGTATGCAGTGCTTAGTTAGGCCGATTTGTGATCCCCGATCCTTTGTGAGAACTGCACCATCGTTCACCCTGCGTAACTTGCCGAACATGTGCAAACGAAGGAAAATGTAACCATGGATGACGAGAGGATGGACAACTTAGCCTTAAGGTTTATACAGATCTTTAGCCAGTTTGAAAACGTAGCACACAGAGTGGCGGCATGGTACGTTCCTGTGATTGCTTTGTCCAAACGTCTTCTCAGTAGATCACCATTCTCATCTCATTTTAAAGGGAGCTGAAAGAATAGTTTTTCTTTTGGACCGTGATTGATTCGGGTAATGTGCTCCTTCCTGTGATGTTCCAATCGATAAATCGATCCGAGAATCCCTTATTCAGGAGTAGTGAATTTGAGGAAATACGAAATACCTGTTTTTTTCCTGATACCCAGAGGTTGACATGTGTTCTGGATTAGGATGACTTTCGTTGTAATGCGTTAGAGCATCAGGTGTGGCAAGTCAGTTTAATCTCCAGGCTATTCGTGTTCCTTCAAATCGCTTACGGTCTCGTACATTCAGATTATTTGTGGTGATCATGCAACGAGTACACACGCACCACGGTACGGCTTCCAAGTAACCAATCAAGAAACGGATTTCCCGACCAATCCTGTGGTTTCAAATGGCATAAGTCCGGTTGGCTGAATGCGAGAAGGCAACCAAATGAGCCATGTCGTTTTTGATTAGACATTGAAGAATGAACCAATGATTATTGGATGCTTATGATATTTATTTGCATGATTTTCCGAATAGAATTAACTATATTCAAAGCTCTTCTTGATTCTACCTGACTTTGCGCTATTCAGTGGGTTTTCAGTCCGGATCTGAGTTCGCCATATTCGATTCCGATTCCTGTTCCGAATACTATGGTGATTCAAATGAACAACCTCAAACATCAGGTCAGATCATTGCTCCCATGTTTCGATGAAAGTGCCCAGTTTACATGATCAGATGTTTCACAATATTCTGAGATCTAACGTATTTAAATCATGTTTCTCCAAAGAGTGGTGGAGAATGAAACAGCTACGACTGGTAAAATATCTTCATGGTTTCCGAATCTAGCAGCTGCATTGTATTGGATGAACATCGTATACCAGGCCCGGTACAACGGTTCTCGTAGCAACAGAGTTTGATCTCAGAAATGTCACACAGAACACAAGGGTGGAGATATTGAAATATGGGTCGTCATATAACGCTGATAACAACTGATTATTTTTAACAAAACGGCTCCATACATAAACACAAGATTGCATGGATAAATAACTCGAAATCAGGCAAAATATGTGTACCCCTTAAGTGGTTATTGTTATATGTTATTGTATATGATCACACTCATTTTCGTCCGACCGTAATACCGAAACAGGTTGTGAACTGAACTGTAGAAGTACATTTATACGCCACTCAACACATTATTATGTAGCTGAGGAACACAAAACATCACCGTAGTTTGGTTGATGGTAATTACTATTAATCCTGAGATGATTGTTCAAAGACTATCCCCCGTAACAATGGAAATTCTGTTGGGAACGAAGGGAGAAAACAAACCGTCTCTCCCTCCCGGCTAGGGAAACTCAGGCAATTCCGAACCCACACATCCAGTTTTGTCCTTTTTCGTTCACTGTTCCCGTCTTTACTCTATCAAACCCCGCTTACTGTTTCTCGGTTAGTTAAAGCAAGACTTTAAAACCATTCGTCGTGGTTTAGTGATCATTAGTCGTGTATCGTTGATCTCAATGGATCCAGTAATCACACAACTCATTAATGGTCACAAAAACTCTTGTATTAAACTTACCAGTACGATTATAGACGACCCTTTTCACACACTACACACACCCAGATTTTTCGCATCTACCCCCTTGTATTAACATTTACTATAAGAATTCCCCTGCACTCTCCTATCTGGTCTGACTCTTGGCCGATAAAGAGCAGGTTCCAAGTGAATTACTTCAGAATTTTTGTGCATATGACGAACGTCCAGTTCAAAATCTTTAGGTCGATTGTTATATCAAATTTTTCATAATACTCGGTGTACCGACCAGTGTACCTTCGTAACTTGAACGCAAACATTTAAGTTTACACACGTTGTGTAAATATAAATAAAAAAGAAAAGAAGTGCTGCCTAGGCTCCCTGGATAATAATGTTACCATAGACACATCGATGAATCCAATGAATTGGTCTGCCTCTTTACTAACGGATGTAAGTATATGTCCCTTACATAGTGAACTATTTTGAGCCGTGTCCCATTCTGCCACACGAGCCAGTTCCAGTTCCGTACTTGTTGTTATCACAATTCCATTCTTCTAATATTTAACGCCTCACCCTGTTAACCCGCTCGTTTACCTGCCTAACTAATGTTACGTTTGCACAACTTTTATTACTAAACTTTAATTTTCTTCCCAGTATTTATTCGTTTCAATAACGGTGTGAATAGCTGAAACTTCGCTCAACATGGGTGTATAAAGATGAACGCTTATCGACTTGGGAGACAGAGTAGGAACAGATTTGGGGTCAGTCTTATGAGCATTTGAATCGATTTTCGATCTATCAAACAATCATGCCAAATGGCCTCCGATTAGAGGAGTAGGCAGACAGTGAAAACTGGGTGGAGTAATTGTGTCCAATTTATACCCACGATTACTATTTTGTTCCGGAATCAACGTATTCAAACGAAACAGACTGATTAGGTTATATGAAAATGGATGGAATCTATATAACCACACACGATTCATTTTTCTGCGCCGGAAAAATCCACGCAAGGAATTTGGTCTGATCGGCAGAAGGATAGATGACGTCATCTGACCGAGGGGGCTATGCTCAACATAGAAAGTTCAAATCAAATAATCACTCTGTGTACCTGAATGGGTAAAACGAATTCCGTGTTGTGGTTTGAACAGCCCGGTGAAGCATACATGAGCTCCGCTTTGCGGACCTCATCAAGTAGAAGGTAAACAACTCTACTCATTCTTCGAAAATTGTGATTTACTGTAGTGATCCTAGCCTAAGAGATGAAGCACACCATGAAGCGACATGTTACAGTTTTCGGACAACTGTGATCAATCAAGCTTCCCGGGTGACGTCATCCAGGCGCGCACATGTCACAGCTTCTGAACTACAAACCATAGATCGATTGTATCAACTAATCAGAAACCGGGTGGCCCAGACGGAAGCTGAACAAC